AGCTGGTCAAAACCACCCACCGTCAACGTTTGGGCTAGTAAAAGTGTAGAGCACAATTGATTTTTTTTTTCTGGAACAAGAAGTGGACCCTCATATCCTGGGTAAAAGGCTCAGGTGTATCAAACTTAATTTTGACCTACTGACCAGAGGTCAAATATCCAATAAGTAGCATTCGTCGCCACAAGAGCCTTGTCCGGTTCTTTTAGCCGAATAACAAAATTGACTCTCACTTATATAATATGTCCATAGCTGAATGTTCGGAGCATGTTCATCAGCATCGTGTCTCAAACCTCGGACTCTATGATCTGACACGCAAACTACCAGGCCACACCCAACTCTTTTATGAAAAAGAATAGTCGTTATTTATCATAACGGAATATCATAAATACCTTAACTTTTGGTTCATGTTAATTGCACGTTAACACTCCTTACCTTACTGTTCTTATTGCATTGTCATAAATACCTTAACTTTTGGTTCATGTTAATTGCACGTTAACACTCCTTACCTTACTGTTCTTATTGCATTGTCCTTTTGCCAAATTAACTGGTAACTATTAATAAAAACAACAACAAACAAATAATAAAGTAAGAATAACTATCGTATTAAGCTGTTTCCTTATTCCACAAGATTAGGCTTCACAGGGTAGTTTGTTTAATTATTTGAACGATACCTTATGCACACAATGTACTAAAAACCCGGGTCAAAGACCTCTTATGGTCCAGACACAGCCATCTGTAATACAGAACTACAGATCAGAGTAAAGGTTTCAAGTAGTTACTTTTAACTAAATCGCGGGGCTGATAGTCACTCTGTATAACACACCCGCAGATGAAGGTGCAACGTATATTTGGGAACACTTATTATCGAACTCTAGACCCTCAGATCTCTAATCCAATATGTTACCTCCCACTAAGGCACACAAGAGAAATTTCGAATAAGTAAGAAATGCAAACCATCTTATTTTATTAGTAGGGCTTCTTACCTACAGCATTATAGATAAGCAATTGAAAAATAATTATTAAAATTAGAAAAAGTGCTCAATTTATTCTTATAAAATTATTCTTTTAAAATTATTCTTTAAAAATTATTCTGTTCAGTCTTAAATATGCTCTCTTAACAAAAGTAATTATAGAGGAAAAGATTAATTTCTAAATCTTTGAAAAGGTTTCAAGGTACGTTTTTTATTTTATTTTTTGATAAAACAACGAAAAAAGAGAAAATGTGATTTTATTAATGTTAATACATTTTGGAATATGATTTTGATTAAAAATACCATACAGATGTCACTAAGAATTTTGTTTCATTCATTATTAATGATAAAAAATGTATGTGTTTTTAAAGACGTCTACACAGACATGTATATGGCTTTATGAAGCCCATAAATTATCTTAAAAAGTTTTAGAGATAAACCGATCACATGTTCTGATGGTCTTATCATGTGCAAGGTTTCAATTATGAAAGAACAGGTGACCAACCGTTCGCTTGTACCCAGAATGGCTGGTTTTGGCCTAAATACTTAATAGTTCTCCCCTAGTCGTTCAGCGTTAAGTCTGCAGGCTTACGACGCTACGAATCGGACTTCGATAGCCGTGGTGGACAAAGCACAGATAGCCCATTGTGTATCTTTGCGCTTAACAACAACCAAATGAAATGAAACTTACTGGCCGAGATGTAGTTGATTACAAACACCCTTAATTCTTTGGGCAATAGTTAGTACAATCAACTGACCATTAATGGCGGGGTCTCCCGGTGGGACAGCGGTAAGTTTACGGAATTACAACACTAAAATCCGGGGTTCGATTCCCAAATGTGGCTTTGTTCTAAAAACAAACAATTAATTGGGGGAGAAAATATTTGTCACACAGTATGTCACGCGGTCTTTTCGATGTGATTAACATGACAAAATGATCAACGCTTCGCTTTCAGATTAGGAGAGTGTTTACCAAAGCATTTAGGAATACAATTTTTAAAGATTTTCCATCATATAAAACAGTAAACTACCTTTTACTACCACAGATACGATTTTTGTTTTCTGGTGTTAAGCACAACCATCTTAATTTGCCACACACTGTGAAATAGGCTTATAATTTAAAAACACTGTGAAAAGAGATACTGATACACTTTAATTAAATCTCCAGCACCTCATAGCAGTTGCATTTTAATGTTTCTCAACATTTAAACAGTAGGGTCTGGAATCGCTATCTTGAGACTGGTAAAGCCCCCCCCCCCCCCAATAAAGAATAGGGGTGTTGGCTTAGGATAACAATAGCAACACTAATGAAAGTTTGCACTGTCCAAAATCTTTAGGAACAGTTTCATCTGGAGAGTGAAATTAATGTTTCAAAATCTGTATAAATATAATAGTACTGTTTGTTGTATGTCCATGTAATTACTTCGCAGAGTGTAGATGAATCTTGACCAAAATTGATATGGCGTTTCATTAGATCCATGCGGGGATATGTACAAATTTTCAGTTATGCATTTTGCGTTTTACAGTTTTTATGGGTGTTTTTTGCTTTTTTGCGCTTTTTACCACTACCTCATTTCCTGTGGATAGATACCCACCAAATTTAGCATGAAAGTTTGCTGGGTCCATGGGGAGATAAAAACACATTTTCAGATTTGCATTTTGCGTTTTGCGATTTTTACAATTACATTTTATGGAAGCAACTTTTCATGTCCTAAGAGAACTTTTAATTAATCATGAATTTACATAACTTCCGTCCAGGAGACGGGTGCTACAGCTAGTAAACAATAATGAAATAACTAAATAATGTTTATTTACATACCAGGGGACCTGCAGTCGTAAGGCCTCATGTGACTGAGAAACAACGCATGCAGAGAATGGATTGATACCCCAAGCATATCAGATGGTCAAAGGGCCAGTGGAGTTTTGTGGTTATATAGCTGATCCTAGGCTCTCACTACCTGTATGTGGTCAAATGATATATATATGTAACACAGTTGAATGACGATCTACATAAAGAATGCTACACCGAGGTATACATTCTTCAATCAGCTGTTTTTAGAAATGGTTCACCATCCACGTTTCGGTGGAGTTGGTCTCTCAGGATCAGCTAGACTTTTGAGAAAATCAACCGGTAACTGCCGAAACGTCGATTATTTTAAATAAAACGTTCTTAGTTAGTATGTAGTAATTCTTTTGTTTTTTAATTCCTTGTCATAAGTACTAGCTTTTCTTTTCATGTTATATTAATGCTCTACACCTCTAAGTCTACCTTTAAGAGTAATGTTGGATTATTAGCTAAACAGTACATCAGTCATACTCAAAGAATTTTTTTTAAATTTTCAGTGAATATTAATCATTATATAAATGAAAAAGAGTTGAAGGATCTATATACAAAGTCGGCACTAGTTCCTTTTCTTATATGTTTTCCCAAAGCTGCACAAAGTGACATCTCGCATAACCATCTGTAATTTTAAAATGATTGACTAGAGTGAAGATAGCTACTCACTAGCCCTCACCGTCAACTTAAGATACTTTTGTCTGACGAGTAGTGGTTGACTCTTACTCTTCAAACGCACCTATGTCTCCAAAGTGCAGAACGCGGGTTTTCCGACAACAGGATGTGAGCCATGAATCTTTAGATTCACAGCCCGACACGCTAGCACTAGATCACGCCCGGCCCAGAATACATATTTACAGATTTTTCTATAAGCTAACGAACTTTTATAAGAATGTAATAAAACTTCACATGATCGGAAGGTCAAAAGTTCGCTCCGTGATGATCAGGTGGGTGAGTTATAAGAGTGTCATTCATTCCAATTATTCGGATTAAGGTCAGATTGTATCCGTGTGGCGGCTGGCGCTGCTGACTGGCTTCTCACCCTCTGATCAGTAATTTAAAAGTAGGAACTATCTTAACTTAGCTGTTTATCTCAAGTACGCACAAAATGCTTTTCAGATTGAAAGTACCAATGCTTATAGTAGTCGACTTCTATGAATCTACAACAGAAGTGGTGAAAATAAAACATAGAAAGGTTTACTGCTCCTGATTAGTGAAAAGATCATACTAACTGACATACCCGTTCAACACATGGGGAAGATATAGGGCCCTTGAGGATGACATAGGGCTCAGATCCCTTATGTCACTCCTCGGGGCCCTAAAGAATATCTACCAAATTTGATAACAGTTGGTCCAATTGTTCGCCAGTTATAAGTGGTCACACACAGACTTTTGTCAAATAATGATTTAATAGATTATACAAAAAGCTCCTCGGGCTATTCTTTATCTATACATTTTTTTTTTCAAAATCGCTTTCGGTAACTTATAAATGAAAACACGTATATGTTGTATTACAAATTTACAACACTTTCTGACTTGACCGCTGCCCACAGCTTAGGGAACTGTACTGTCGAGGTTTCGTTCGCGTCCCTTTACCATTACAAAAACAAAAGCACATCGCGCCCTACACTTTGGGGCTCTTATGCGAGAGACAGTCATATTCTACTATTCAGTCTAACAACAGAAGCCAAAGAATTGACGGTGCGTGGTGTTGATTAGCTGCTCTCCAACTAGTCAATCTCTCCAAAATTGTGGATGTTAATACAAACATCCCTCGTGAAATCCATCCAACCAACCAACAAGTTTCTCACTTTTTCTAGTAAGGGAGATACAACACTCTGATTTATAATAACATATTAAAAATGTACATTATATCACCAAAGTGAAGGCCAAGTTTCGATCAACAAGCATAGGACCACATTAGAATTTATTTTTTATTAATATTCTCTGTTTTGGAGTTTTCGAAAAAGAAGTACACGCGTGCGATCGTAAATGGTGATAATTACATTGACTACTAAAAGCAAGATTCTACTGACAGTTTCTTTTGAAAGTTCGGGCAATAATTCAGTTTACCCTGGTATGTACTGGTATTTGCATTCTAACTTAATAAGTCTCAAGTTTCTAATAGGTCCACGATATATACGGATATTCAAACCTTGTAGGTGCAACAAATAAATAATAGAAAGAAATTCACTCTAATCAGTCAACGTTTTATTGAACACCTGTGTTTTGAACTTGTCTGTTTGCACATGTACAGGTACCCTGACAGCAGGGGGCTTTGGTGTGCACACGGCACTAAACTTGTATAATTAAGCTAGGAAAGGAGCTTTCACAATTTGCAGGTGGCATACATTACGTAGTTTCAGTAACAATACCGTCTATATCCTGTATTTTTTCCAGAAAATTTAGTAAATTAAAAAACTCGAAGAAATTTTTTCAACTCCCAGAACGAAAAATATATATATATAATAATCATAGCAATGCCAAACTGCCCTAAATGCGACAAACCAGTATATTTTGGTAAGTTATTGTTAGCCTACTTTAGTTGCAAGGCTGTTTCAATTATTGGATTTAATGATAAAATAATGAACGTATTTTATTTCTTATCTTCAAATACAACATAGTATTAGAATTAGAATTTTGTTTTCTTGACCATTATTCTCGTATTTGTTGTCCTTGTATTCGTGTTTTTCACCGTATTTTGCCCATAATATATAAAATTGTATAATATAAATGATAATAATGTCCAATTCGTGGAACAGGAAAACGAATAACATGAAAGTGGTTCCAAGTTGGGCTCCTATTTCGATCTCATGTTATTGATTCAACACTGAAATATTAATTCCAAGCTCTTCATGTTACTTCGAGCGCGGTAATATCATTCAAATGAAAGCGACAAATGTTTTATGTTTAGCAGATTTCCTATACGGTGTGATAAACTTATATACGTTATAGGTGTTACGTTTCGAGATAAGTAAAAACAAAAACGCACTTAGTTAGTTTGTTGAATTTCGCGCAAAGCTACCTCGTCCCTAATTTAGAAGAGATAAACTAGAGGGAAGGCTGCTAGTAAACATTGCCCACCACCAACTCTTGGGCTACTCTTTTCCCAACGAAAAGTGGGATTCGCCGTTACATTATAACGCCTCTCGGATGAAAGAGCGAGCATGTTCAGTGATACGATTCAAAGATTGTAATACGAGTGCCTCTAATCACCAGGCCATTGCTAGACACAAAAAAGGTATTTATCGAAATAGTGTTAAATGTTTCGCTAAATACAGATATCAACAGATAGAGATAAGAGAATAGTGTTAAATGTTTCGCTAAATACAAATATCAACAGATAGAGATAAGAGATATTTCAAATAAGGTAAAAGAATCGATTTTGAATCTTATTAAATGAGGACCCTTAGAAACTTTTTCTAACTGGTGTTAAGGATTATGACAGTTAATGTTTCCTATTTCTTTTATAATATTCAACCTTTATTGATTTTTTTTATTTTCTCCTATTTTCTGAAGATTATGTTACAGTTTAAAGCTCTGAAGCAAAAATTCTGAACTTGGCTGAAAACGTAAAATATATTATGTACTTGTAACCAGTAAAGTGTGTAGATCAACAAAAAAAAACCGCAAAATGTTGTACAGTTTCAGAGATCAATAGCTTAGTAATTTTAATAGGATAACCATCGAGACAATAGACGAGGGCATTTGATTTTGTCTCAGCCTTCGGTATAGTTTGTTTTTAACCTCAGTAGAAACTGTAGATCATACATATAATGAAACATTATTTATATATACGTATGTCGATTGATATTTTCTGATTCAATGCAGGATATTCAGGAAGTTTCAAGCTCAAGGACGTTAAAAATTACAGTTAATGAAAAAACGGGAAAGCTCGGTAATTTGTTTGAGTCAGTGGAAGCTCAACAACTAGGTCTTTCCGACAATGTTTGTTTCACTTATGTAGGCCGGTGGTTAGCGTGCCCAGCTACAGATTTGCGTGTTTGCATTCGCGTCCCTTATCGCACAAAATTAAATATAAAACAAGAATCGCGCTCTGCATTATGGGGCCATGGGTTCTTTATATGGGTGATCAAATCCCTCTATTTGGATAGAAAAGGGGAACTCAAGAGTTGGCGGTGTGTGCTGTTGACTAGCTGCCTTCTCTGTATTCTATCATATCACAATTAGGGATGCCTAACGCAGATATCTTTTGGGTAAATTTGTGTGAATATCTAAAAACAAACAATTCACTTTCTTTGTATCATTCACACCGTTGTATTCAAGTACTGTAATAAGTAAACAAAATAATAACAGTCGGAACATATGGTCGAAAAAACAGTATTTAAAGATCAAAATTAAATTAGAGTTACAAATGGTATAAAGCAGCGATATAGTCGTGAACTGCATTGAAAAAATGAACAAAATAATGTGTCCTTGAAACAGATGAAGATAATGTACTTATTTTGATTTTGTTATTTTTCATAATTAGACTACCTAAGACTGTCTTTGTGTGTTTCCTTTCAAGATATGACATTGTGTGAAGTATCTGTTTCAGAAATGTCGGTATCTGTTTGCTTAGTTTTTTTCAACTCAAAACTGTAAAGTTGATTATGCACGCTAATTAAGACATGTTGTTTCTATGGAGATTTACTTTTGCTGTATATGGGGCCTTATACTCCAGAATTTACAGAACTAATGAATTACGGAATTATTTATTCATTATTGGTATTTAATTCGGTAATAATAATAATTATTATTATTTGTTACTTACCTCTTTTTCTTCTTCTTGTAATTCTCACGAAGAGTCAACATGTCAGTCTTTCTTATCGAGCTCTGTTAGGAATATAGGTCCCGCGGAAGGGTAGCCATGCCTCTCGTATACATAAATTATAACATCATTACTACCGATAACTAACACTAATAAGCAACAGATACCAAGTTTGGAAAACATTTATGAATAGACTTCGAAAGTTGTGAATTCGTTTGTTTGTTGTTTAGCACAAAACTAGACAATGAGCTGTAACAAAGCCGCCCCTACGTTAAATCTTACAATAGAAAGATTGTAGAGTGAATTTACATTACAAAGAAATTTGCGTAGGATTCAAACTTGAACATATGTATAAAGTTAGCGCAAATAAAGATCTTAATGTTATAAAAACGCAATAACTCTAGGTATTTATAATTTTTGCCCTTACTTTCTAGTTGTTCAACGGTAAGCGTGAGAGCTTATGACGCTTAAATTCGGGACACGATCCTTACGATGTTAATATTTTCACACGTTCTAGATACAAAGTTGTAAGAAATCTAAAAATGGATACTAACCAGTTAGTTTATTTTTACTCCTAGTAATATAGCCAATTAAATTATTTTCATTGTTACTTATTTCTTCAATCTAACATTAATGGATCAAATAAAAATGATCAATTTGTATTTCAAACATATACTGGTTCAGTGTTGGTCTAATAAAACGTTTTCGATTATAGGTAACAGCTAAACTGAAACGCTATTCTAGATATAGCTTGCTGCAAACAAATTAAAGATGGCTATACTAAGGTTTTGCTGCAAACAAATTATCCAATTAAAGATGGCTGAACTAAGGTTGTGCCCTAGTAGAAGGGCTGTATATATAAAAGTCTGCAAATAAATTTATAATGAGAACTTTCATCTTTTATATTTTTATTCGGTTTTAAATAATTGTATGAAGGTTACAAAAACTGGCGTCATTTTATGAATGTCGTAAGACATTTTGCTTTGTACTTGCAAGGGAGTAGGAAAAGGTACAGCTCGATTGGGCCTCCAAATTTTAGTTAAATTCACAGAAATGTACCAAGTTACCCAGTGGAAAATGCGGCTTTATATTCCTGCCTATGTCTGATGAGTTATCTTATTAAATTATAGAGAGCCCCCAAATCCCTCTAGAACTGTTCCTGGCTAGAAAAATAAAATATTACCGTATAGCCGTTCATATGTAGATACAAACCATTAACAGCCTTGTATGTATCTCTTAGTCTGACTTCCTAAATACCACAAGCAAGGGTGCCCGTAGAAAAAAAATTGGGGGGGGGGGTGTCAAGTAACTCAAGTG